CAGCGACCTGGCAAAGGCTCAGCACTAGATGGATTCAGGTAGCCAAGCAGTCTACAGAAAACGGGAGAAGATGGTCTATATGTAGTGGAAAACTCTGAACACTTTGCATTTGCCTTGATATAGTTTCTCTCCTATCTGCACTGAGGCCTTTAGCATTACACTGACTACCGCGTCCTTGTGAAAGGCCGCTGGAGAACTTTGTTGTGGAACAGCCTTACCCTGAGCCATAGCGACTTCACTCTGGTTGGATAACAGGAGCAGTCTGAAGCACTGGTTTTGTACACTTAGATACTGTGCCTATCAAATGCCCACCTATGAATGTATGCTCCACATTCACAACCTCTTCACAAAGAAAAGCAGCATGGGAACGTGAAAACTGCTCGGAAGCAAATACTACTTCTCTAAGCCATTGCCCAAAATATAAAAGGAATTCAGAACCCTCTGCAGATGAGAAGAATTCCATTAAATTCTACCCATTATATTTTCTAAAACAAGATGGAGGAGTGCCAAAATACCTAAACAAAGCAGTTTTTTCACACAATTTCCATCCCACCGAGAAGTAATAAGCCCTGGAGATCTTACAAAGAAACCTGTTCTTGAACAATTTACTGCTCCGATTTATAGGTCCAAGAAACGAGGATGGTTCAGATTAACTTCGTATAAGCATCCACTGACTCTCAAGACTTCTTCTCCAAATCAAACCTGAGCCAGATTTTTTTCCCAGCTAGCTGCTCTTTTGCACCGACTGAGCCGTGTGAAGGGGATGGAATATGGCCACAAGTGCATATTTGAGAATTCCCCCAACTATGGGGAAGTCTCCAGCTGCTTTGAGTCACTGCAATCTATTCTTACACTTGTATCACAGCGGACATCAAGCACATCAGCAAGCTCTGCTAAACCACTTCATGGCTGGCACCCAGAACCTGACCTACTCTAATTGCTGCTGCATAGGTCAGCGCTATGAAGCTTGCAAATCCAAGAGCTTTATCCAGTTGCGAATATGCTAGTAGCCCGGTGTTTCCTTTTTTTTTTTTTTTTCTCAAAAAAAGCTAGCTGCCAATTCTGAAAACCTGAGGAAAAAAAATATTCTCTAAATCTGAAACAAAAGTTTTTGGATTACTTTGCATACAAAAATCGAAGAAAAAGTCCTTTCAACTGAGAATGCTGAAATTAAATATTTAACTTTTTTAGCTTTTAAATTCTGATTGAACACAACTAATTCAGGGAAGTCAACGTGAATTAATTGGTACAATGCTGGGCTGCCAAACTGGCAGTATTTTTATTATTACTAGTTCTAAAAATGGACTTGGCCACACAGCAGCGACCACCTCTTCTTATAGGAGATAAATCCATCCTCAAACTTACATTAATCATAAATTGCCCTTTCTTGTGTGTTGTCCACAGCCCCAGATAAAGCAGAGTGAACTCGGCAGGATCAGCAATGACAGTCCAACCCTTGTGTAGTTCACCTCAGAAGGTCAAGTGAAGTTTTCAGTATCTGCTTTAAGATCTTATGAAAAAGACCTCTGCATGAGTTCGCATGTGGGAACTGACAAAAAAATTCAACCCAAACAGAAAACTTCAAAAGGCAGAGGTCCCCTGAAAATCTAGCAAAGGAAAGATTATATTGTCTAAAAAGAAAAGGCAATGAAAGTCTAGGAGCCAAGCACTTTGACTTAATCTTAGCTACCTCGATTGCAGGTGAGCTAACTAGACGTTTTATACAACCCCTATCCTCACCACATTTGCAATCCATAAAATATTCCAGAAAGAGCGGAGTTAGGAAGAACACGTAAAGCATATGCCTTTGTTTCTACCTTCACTCTGTTTGAGGGGAAAAGTCAAATACTGCAGCACCAAAGGAGGCAACTTAGGTATTTGAAGGTATTCTAATCTACACATACAGATGGATGATATGATAAAAAGTCCAGGTGACAGAAACCATTTGAAACTACTTTCTGTGCATGGACTCTCCAAAAGCACTTGGAGATGGAGATGTTACCTTCATTAGGTAGGGAAATACAGTACCAGGATTCCTTCCAGAGGGTAAAACAGATTTCTGACCGACAGAAACAAAGCAAACAAGTCACATCAGACAAGCTGAAGTCATGCAATTTAATCCTGCACATCCCCTACCTTATTATATTCACTTCTGATTACACCACGCTTAGAGAAAAACACGTGTTGATCGGCAGGCTGCAAAGAAAGCCAACGCTGATGATACCTTAAGTCAAGACACTGTATAAATAGAAATCTGAATATGACTTTCCACAGGGAGAAAGAACAGTGGCGAGATTTCATTTTCCATTATTACTACATGCTGGTAAAGGTATTTACACTATCAAGCACATTAATTGATATGAATGGACTCTTTAACCTATGGTCTTTCTTCTCCCTTACACTGCAGTAAATCAGAAGTCACTTTGCTAATGTCAGGATCGTCGTACCAGTCTACAGCTGGGGTGAAAGGAGAATTAGGAGCACTATTTTAAGCAGCAGCGGTTCTGTTCAGTATATATTCTTATTTTCAGTGCAGATGAAAAAGGAAAGATTAAGAGCAGCAGATCTGAATGGTATTCCTGGTTCTGCCACAGTTGTCTGGCACTGTACATCTGGCAAATCACTTAACATTATCGTATCTCAGTATCCCGCAAAGCTGGATTTATATTTTCCTAACATTAAGGATTTTTGTAGAAGGAAAAAGAATAATGTTAGTAAGCCTAAAAGCAAAAAGAGATTGTTTCCTCGGTTAATAGCAATGCTATCTCACAAGCAAATTCTCTAGTGTGAGTCAAATTTAAGGCTCCTCTATTTAAGGGGGTTTTATTGTATTAAAAAGTGGTGAGAGCAAACACAGATGCTCAGCATTTAAAAAAAAAAAAAAAAAGGAAAATTTTAGTTGTGTTTTTAAGTGAACCAGTTACCAAGGACTTGGCTTCTTGTAATAACACATCTACTTTACTTTATTGTACATTTGAAAGGTTCAGAAGCATATCAGGGCAAAATATTGCTTCTGTTTTTAATTTAAAACCTGTAATACAGGACACTTTTGGTAAAATAGTAAGGGTTTGAACTAACTCAGAAAAAAGCTTTTTCTTTTTTTTTTTGGATATAAGTCACTCAGAAAGATAGCAAAGAGTTTAACTTTGCTTATCTCACAGGAATTTTGAATTTTGCCCTTGACCTCCACAGAGCCAGGACAACACTTTATCGTGTTTTTTTAAGACCCAAATCCTGCACACTGTGATGCAGAAGGGAATTTCTAAAGTCAGTGGGATTCCCCATAGCTCTCAGGATCAGAAATTTGTGGGAAGCTGTGGAGAGAACTTGTCTGAATTTTGGCCCAAGAGTTTTCTCATTTCCTTTGACAGTCTCCATAAAAGCCCTCTTGTGCAATTCCTGCTATCTTTTCATCTTGGGATGCCAAAATGCAAGAGTTTGAACATCTGTTTGAAAAAAAGAATATGCCAATATTTAAATTAGCAATGGTTTCTTTTCCCTCCAAGATTGTCAACTAATTATTTGAAAAGGATTTACCCAAATATTGTACTCAGTTCCATATTACACATGCATACATGAGAACAGAATTTGGCCCAATATGTTTAAGCTAAGCACATTTTTGCAGCTATGAAAAGTAATCTGATTTCCATGCAATACTTCATATATGGCAATTTGCCTTCCTGGGCCTCAGTTCACGTCAAGCCTTTTCACTCTGTTCATTTTATGAAGATTTAATTGAATCTTACTTAAATAGCATCAACTAGCACTTATTCATAAAGCCATCAAGCTTTTCATCACAACTTCATAGTTTTGTAATTCTTAAAAAAAAAAATAAATAAATAAATCTTATATATTCAGTAGTACTATCACTGCAATCACTTGAAACAAACTCTTCTGTCTGCAGTCCACCACCCCCTTTTTCAAACCCGGTTTTGAAGTCCTGTTAAAAATGACCGCGTTTTCACCAAAGGAGATTTTATTTTTCACCGTTTTTCTGCCAGAAACGTGATGGTGGTGAAGTAAAGGTTGCTTGGAAAAGTGCAGTTTGAATTCAGGGCTGATACAAAGGAACACCGCGGTGAAGCAATGAGAGACAGGAAGGCCCCCGCTGTTTGAACGAATGTCGCCCTGGTATCAGAAAGGCCGTGAGAGGGCTGGCAAAGCCAAGCTCTCCAGAGCCCCTGTTTAATCAGGGGCTCAATGAGCAGCAAGTGCAGAAGGGGCAAAATCCATAATGATACAGGTCTGAGGATGGATTAAACTGATTTCTACAGAATCTTTGTAGGAACAGAGGCCTGTCCGAAAATCCTAAAGAAAGTAAACGTTGTTGACCTGCCCTGCCACGGGTATACTTTATGAATGAACAGACAAAGAAGTCGGAGCACCAAAAAAATCCTCCAAAAACAAAACATAAAAAGCCAACAAAGAAAAAAGCGCGCAAAAGCAGAAGATAAAAGTCCTTTCTTACCAGCCTTCCACCCACACCCCAGTCCACCAGCTCAACGAGAGGCGATGCTTCTTCACCAGCGTGTAACTAGAACCGCCGCCAGCTGCTCAACCATTTCATTTGCTCCATTGTTTTACCCTTCAGTTTACTACCTCCAGCACCTCAAATGCTAAAATTGTACTTCTGGAAAGAAACCCTGGGTACTTTGCCATTGGGTAAATTCTTCAACTTACTCCTCTCCCCACCAGCCCCTTTGACCCTGGCTGCTATTTGCCAGAACAACCTGGGACTTGCATTATTGGTTCTTGTTCTTTACAGTCACGGAGCTGACACCATGCTGTTCGTGACAGTCTTTCCAAAATAAAACTCAGACACGACTATCGTAATTAAGGAATTATAGTCCCTGCAATACCATATTTCTTATTGCCATCATATAAATGATCCCACAAGGGACGAGGTAGCCTTTTTGTCCCATAAAAATAGTTTACACAGGTGCATACTTAAAGCATGATTCTTGTTATTATTTGGAGTGGTAAAAACACAATGGATTTACCTTCTTAGCAGTGATGAAAACCACGTGCATTGTGGCAATGCCCCCCAGTACAGACTCGATATTGCAGAGAGAGCAGGATAGGTGGCTTCATTTGTGCAGGGCAGGATGGAGACGGTTTGCCTTGCTTATGGCTCTCCAGATGAACTGCCTCTGGATTATTCTCCTAAAGAGAGAAGTAGGAAAAGTCCTTTTAGCATGAAAGGAAAAATCATGAGAAAGATAATGAGGCAGCCCACTCCACACCTTCCTCACTGCCCTGTCAACATACAGTGGAAAATGAAAATTGTTTCCTGTTTTGTTCCCTTATTCATTTCCACATAAAAGCGGTTGCAAATATAAATCACCAGAAATTATCACAGCAATATAGAAGAGAAAAGTGAAAATGGGGGAGCGAAGACTTTAATCCATGACTCAAAAGGAATAAAAAAAAGAAAGGGGGGGGGGGGGGGGGGGGGGCACATTTTAATGTTATTAGATAAGTTGTTTCTATAGTTGAGCTCCAACTGCTCTGGACACTCACAGACATCTCCGCAGAGACCCCTGCTCTTCCGCTGCCCCACGTCAATGCGGCGTCGTTAAAGCCACCAGGATATAATAATAACGGAGCTAGCCCGACTTCCGCGACTCGACACCGCGTGCTCCAGGCCACGTCTCCGCGAGCGCAGTGAAGCGCGGTGCAGGGATGCTAGCTCGGGGCCGGACACAGCAGCGATGAATTCGTGCGGTGCCAAACGCCCACCGACAAACGCCGTGCCCCAGAGGCCGGGTTGGCTCTCGTGCCAGCGACGCTGCCCAGCTCTGCTCCGTATACCTATTTGATCAGAAAGGAGCACTTTAATCACTGCCCATAACGTTTTCAGACACTTGATTTTACACGTTGGGGCCAACTTCCTCCATTTGCAACAGCCTGGACAGGTAGCAAAATAAAAAAAGCCCAGAAGTTCAAGAAATCTGGAAGGTAGATTTCAGTGCTAACACTTTGGTGAGGGCCAGCATCTGCCAGGCACCCCCAGAAACACCCATCCGCCCTCTCCGCAGCCTGTGTTTAGGCAGCGGCTCGCAGAGCGCCGGTGGCTTCGCGGCTCACCCTTCGGTTCTGCGTGTACTTGGAAGGCTTACTGTTATTTTAACCTCTTAGGCAATCCTCCCTTTTGTTCTCCACCTTTACTTTCCTTATCTTATTTTTACACTCTTATCTGCATTCTTTAACATCTTTATTTTTTTTGAAAGAGGTTTTCCTCAATACCATCACTACCCTGCACAAGTTTAATACAGAACCTCTTCGGTTACTCATCTGTTACCACCTATCTGCTCATAAGGGTGCTAACGTTTCAGGGAAAATGAACATTCAGGTCTTGCTTTCCCCTGTTATCCAAATCCCACTTCCAAGGTACCAAGCAGACTCTTTCCAGTGTTCAGGTGCACAGGTCTTGGGCTCCTCCCTAGGAGCTTGTTCCCCTGATATTCACTCTTAACACATGGAAAATATCTTGATTTATGTATTTATTCTCTGGGGTTAGATCGAACTATCTGAAATTAAAGTGCAGTTGAGCAGAAGGACTTTCTGGCCTCCTCACAAAGGGCTGGACTTTCTTTGTCCGATCCATTCGCACAACCTGTCAATGCACACATTTACAATAACCGCATCCGTTCTCCGAAAGGTCTCCCCAGCTTCCGCCCTGGGGCAGGTGTTTCCTGACAATTCATACTGGCAGGCTGGAGACCGGTGACACCTCCCGCGCGGCTCTCGCTCGGGGCCTCTGTCTGGACGTAACCTGCTGCCAGGCACACGTTGCTCACGCTGGGAAAGCATCTCCCTCTGGCCAGAACGAACCGTCTTTTCCTTTCTCACCAGCCCTGCCAGGTAGCGAGGGGCTCGTCCTCCCACGGCCCCCTTCCCTGAGCGCGCACGCCCCACGCGGTGGCCCACCGCCATCCACACAGGCGCCTTCGTCCAAGCTTCAGCTTCCTCTTCCTTTCCACGGTACGGCACCCGCTTAGCTCATCAAGGCAGAGCACGATCGCCTGTCCAAAAAACGAGTGCTGCCTGCCTTCCAGCACACGTTAAAACCCAGTTCCTCGGCTACCTGCACTAAATCGACTCCCGCGTACTGCACAGAGCATCAACTGCTTTAACGCATCAGGGCGGAGGGTGCGGGGCACGCTCGGGAAAGCGGGAGTCCCGCAGCTCGAACGCACACTGGGCCGGCTGCGGGAGGCGAGCGGAGCCCAGCTAGGAGAAGGGTCCCAAGGACAACGTTTCATCTGGCACATCTGAATGTCACCCCTGTGCTTGTATAAAGCAAAATGTAGCCTTCAGCCCCCACCTCTGATTTGCACCCACTGTTATAAAACCCCCAATAAAAAACGAACATGGCATGCTAGACCTTTATCCTCGTCAGCATGCTACCTTCCCTAACCTCCTTTTCTAGTTTTTTCTTTGGAGAAGATAAGGCTGCTTTGTTTTGTTCTCATTTGTTTTCTTGTTCCTGCCAATTGTGTGAAGTGAAACATATTTGGGAGGAATGAATTAAATTTTACAAAAGCTCTTCTAATAATATATATTAAAAAAAAATAAGCAAAGAATAACAAGTATTTGCCCAGTAGATGAACTGTAAATGTTATCAGGCAAAGTAAACATTCCAACTGTAATTGTTATTGTAGATGGATGAATTCATAAATATGGAAACACTAAAAAATGGTGTAATACAGAAACAAAATGCAATGGACTGAGGAAAGAATGCAGCATGCAGCAGCCTGGGCAAAAGCAGTTCAGAAAGGTTAAAGAACTAACAAGAGCACTGAAAAACAGAACTTTTTCATGTGGCACCAACCCTGTCGAAGTTGATGCAAACATTTGTCACCCATTCACCCCTTGGGATTTTGCTGATACTGCTTACGAACCCAAAGGAAAGTAAGTATTCCTACTCCCATCCTCCAGCAACTAACTGTATGTCCTCATTAGTATTTTAGTTGGGACCAGGAGTGCACTTCTGAAGTATATCTCCTAGTAGTCCTCACTTATCACATTGCAGCTCATAGCATGGAGAAGTCCTGGAGCACACGAGCCCTTTGCATGCAATGAAACCAGGTGATGTGCTCCAGGGATGCTCCTGAAGGGCTGCAATCCCTAAGGGGAGGCTTGGTCCACGGCATCAGACTAGAGCTAGCCCAAAGTAAAAACCCCACCCAATGAGTCTTGGGGACATCTGGTACTCAGCAGCGAGTATTTTACTCCATACAGGAACTCAGAAATAGGAACAACAACAGGCTCCTGTTGTGCCACAGGACTTGCCAGCATAGACATAAGCTCGCTTAACTACCTGAGGCTGGAGGCTGGTCTTCCCAGGCTTTTAGATAGGCTTCTCCAGAGTACAATTTGCTTAAATCGGGATCCTGTTCATTCCGTATCAGGATCTCTGTAGGATTTTTTCACTCTCATTCTCTTTCAGAGTGTTCTGTTAGGCAGCATAAATACATGCGATAAAATCACGTTGACTGACTTAGGGGGTTTCACGTTACTTGTGTTTTTCTTAAAGCTTTGCCTTACGAGAGACTCTAGTGTCCTAACACATGCCAAACCTGAATCAAAGATGTCCTAGATTGTTTGACAGCTTCAAGATACAACTGCTTGTGAGGAGCGCAAGGATCAGCTGTCACCCTACTGCTTGCTTCAGCAGGCCTCTGATGCTCTCCAAATTCACTTTGGGCAAAGTCAGGGGAAGCAATGAAACCAAATTCCTAACGAGCCCAGGGATCAATCACAAAAACTGAGCCCCTTTCTGTGCATGGCATCCACAACATGAATCCCATGTTGCGGTTCCCAGTGGGCAAGGATTACTTTGTGAGGATGCGACCAGGCAGCCTGACTCACACCCCAGCACATCTCTTCCGTCTCCCACTTCGGAGCAGGTAGTACCATGTCAATAAAAGTGGCAAGGACATCTATGACAACTAGATTATAGTCAATGTTTTCCTCTATCCCAGCCCCGCTTGCACCCTGCCCTGGTCCTAGATGCTCTGTTTTTCTTCCACTGCTGTTTTGGCATTTACATATACAAGTGGTCTGCTAGTCCTGCAAAATCAGGTCAGCTCTTTCCTTCTTAGCGGCTCCAAATCCCCAGTGGTGTGGTCAATGACAGCAACAAACTTCCCTCATAATTTTCAGCTCATTGAGTTGTTCAGCTGAAATCAAGCTGTGATTTAAGGAAAAAAATAGTATTTTGAGTATGACATTTTAAGAAAACTGCCCTTCATTTTGCCAGAATACCATCAATATTTACACTCCTAGGGCTTCTCCCTATACAATACATTGCAAGCACAAATATTAGCCCTTAGATGATCTGATCTTCAATCATGAAAAGCTGTCTCAGAGCTAATGCTTGCACCCACGGTTCATTAGCAGCCAGAAAAAAAAGCTTCTCAGAAATAGGAAGGCTGGCCCTTTGCTCATCTGAAAATTTATCTCTGAATATTCAGTACAACCTCAGTCATTAGTTTCCAAAGTCACATACGGAGCAGATAGATGTCAAATCAATATCAAGACAGATAACTTCTTATCAGTAGGAAAGGATACTGAGAAACAGCCTCTGTGTGATGGTATCATTTCATTAGGTAAGTTATCAACAACGAGTGCCATATGTGACATTCTCATATAGCCCTGAAAAAAGCCTGGGAGATAATAGTATGCTTTATAGCTTAATTCTATGCACCAGTTAGTTATATGGCACATTAAATCTACCTCAAAATAAACAAATACTGTAATTACAGCTAGAATTTATGTCGTTCTAACCAACCAGAGTCTGACTGTAGGAGCTGGGTTATGTTCGGACAGCTAAATCCATACTTAGGTACCAAAAAATGGTTATTTACATAACTTCCAATCTTTTTATTTAGAAACTGTTATGTTTCACATTAAAAACAATTATTTCTCTTTAGGAAAGACTTTTTCCTCCCCCTTACTTTCACGGTGTTTCAGCAACATTTTTATATACAACTGTTTTGTATACCTACTACACAGAATTTCCTTGAAATTTTGAGGAATCCATATTTTAGATGCATTTCTACCACTACCGCATCATATGGAGTATGCAATAAGATGCCACTGAATTAATTTCATCACTGAGACAGATTATTAGTATGCAAATCTAATGGATC